GATCATGTGACACTGAAGACTGGAGTAATGATGCTGAAAATACAGCTGCGCATCACAGAAATAAATTACAGTTTAACAGATATTCACACAGAAAACAGTTGTTTGAAATTGTAATAATATTTCACAATTTTTACAGTATTTTTCATCAAATAAATACAGCATTGGTGGCAATTTTTCAAAATTGGCATGAACCTACATATCCTGCAGACAAAACGTGGTCCATAGAAATAATAAATAAAATAAAATAATAATATACTTAATAAGAAGCTAATGGGAAGAATCTGACAGAGAGTGAATGATTTTCAGAAAGATTGCTTTTTAAGAAAGATACTTTTAAGGTAAGATATAAGGACAGAGAGGGACAGTGGTATGATTAAAAAAAAAAAAAAATTAGTTGGACTGATGATTCCTGGATGCCTTAATTTTTAGTCAGTGTGACTTTATTTGTAGTTTTTAATTGAAGTAAAATAAACTGACTTAAAAGCGTTTAATAAAGTTACCTTTTTAAAATAATGGGGCGGAAACGTGTTGTCATGCCTTTTTTAACTGTTTAGAAAAACCAATGCAGTTTATCTGATGACATTACTTGTTTTAAACATTACCTGTTGTAGGATCACTGATGAGGTTTGTGTTGATCTTAGTTAAAGTTTAATACGGACAAGTAAAAATATATATAAATATATTGTTGTGTAAATAAAAAGGTTAGCAATCAGTTTGTTTGCCTTTTGTATTTATTCTGAAAGGTGGAGGGGTTTAGCGATGCCTAGAGCCTCCAAAGGTTTAGAACCGGCCCTGAATGTGAATAATAAAATGTGAAGCATCTGCATTAAAGCATAGCTGGATTATTTGGAACTATTATAAAAACGAATACATTATTTGGATTGAGTTCGATGTAAACCCTTCTTTATTGCAAGGCTAAGTGATGATGAAGCAGTTTAATTTGTGAACGACTCTATTCCAGATGCATATAAGACATTTTCAAAGCAAAAGAATATCAAAACACTAATGCTAATGTGTAACTTCATAAACACAAATGCCTGTCGCGGTGGAATGGATTCATTAATATGCTTATTGAAAACTGTCAGACCAGTTCAAACGCTTTGCAGGATTCAGTGAAGCCAGGATAAAAACTGACAAATAATCCCAAACTAAAAGCAGCGAAACAAAACTACCTTCGCTCCCTGAAACTGATTTCCAGGGGTATTTTTACCTTTATAAGGGCAAAATTTCCAATCTTCCTAAATGTATGCATTCCCTTTCATGCAAAAATGTATTTAATTAATGCAACTAGAATAAGACACTAATAGGGCTGTTATCAGTCATATTAAATCAGTATCAACAAAACCCATCTTTGCACTGCAGACGCTGCATTTAGATGTATTTACACAGATCATTTAATGCAGCTCAGAGATGCCATGGAAACATTTATACTGCAATTATGTGTCAGCTGCTTACATGATGCTATGAGCTTAAAGTTTTAAATATGAGATATTTTTAATATAAAAATATGAAGTGTTGGGGGGAAAATGTACTTTAAAATATACAAGTCATTGATTGATTCACTCAACCAATTCTTTCTAAATGGCTGATTCATTGAGGAGCGGAGCAAGTGTCTGTCTTAAAGGGGTCATATGATGCTGCTAAAAAGAACATTATTTTGTGTATTTGGTATAATGAAATGTGTTTATGCGGTTTAAAGTTAAAAAAACACATTATTTTCCACATACTGTACATTATTGTTTCTCCTCTATGCCCCGCCTTTCTGAAACACGTCGATTTTTACAAAGCTCATCGGTCAGAAAAAGCGAGGTGTGCTGTGATTGCCAGCTATTCAGTGCGTTGTGATTGGCCGAATACCTCAAGCATGAGACGGAAATGTTACGCCCCTCACATACTGTGATGCCGACTCAGTCCTGCTGCTCTGCTCGTGCACATCCCATCATCGGTTCTCTTTTAGCAGTTCAGTCAATGTACTGTTAGGAGTAACTGAAATGTGGGGGCGTGTTAGAACGAGCCGTTTTAGGGGGGCGTGGTTAACTCAACTTTTATAAAGAATATCTCTTTGGTTTTGAGACTTTAGTCTTTGCAACTTTACAGATCTTCTTTATGCACCAAGAGCTTGTAACACTCCAAAGAGAAAGGAAAAATTGAAATCGCATCATATGACCCCTTTAACGAATGGGTCATTGAATCATTTACTCACCCAACTCGTTCAAAAAAGTCAAGAGGGCTTGCTGTGCTGATTTGTGACACAACAGTTCTGCTGTGACTCTGCTTGGAACGATTTTCATTGCCGCAACAGAGACAAATCTGACAACATTTCATCTGAAATGTACCTCACAATATTAACTTGAACAGTCTATTTTTAAAATGCATTTATTTATGTTTGACCATGCTTTGCTCTGGATACAAGAGGAAAAGGAAACTGTCGATATAGAAAGATTTTTACCTTCAAACGACTAGAGGTTAAATGAAAACAACTTTAATTGAATCAGTGATTCAATTATTGTCCTTCAACTGCCTTTCGTTCTGATTATTAGTTCAGAATAGCAGTGTAAGCGTCCAGCCTTACATACACTGCTAGATATACTGTATATCATTCATACCACGAAATGCATCAAAATACCATAGTATTACTAACTGAAATCATTGTTGTATCATAGATAGCACTGCCAGGGTAGGCTATATTTTGACAGGCAATTGTGAGCAATATCACCTAGAGCTGTCGTGAGAACAAGCCTTTCAGAAGCCAAAGGTCACAAAATGTGCGAAACAATGCAGTGAGATAAAGGAGGTTCTGGAATAATCTGTTGCTAGATCAGTTATAGGGTAGATGTTAGCTTGTAACAGTATGTTCAGATTAGAGATAGACGGGTGAAATCATCTGTAGCCCATAGTAAAGCTACACAATTAGGGTTGCCAACTTCAGAAAAGGAAAATAAGGAACAATTGTGGTTTTTCATAGAAAAATAAGGGACATAATAAGGGATACACACACAGGCCTATTTTACACACACACACGCACACACACACACACACACACAGGTATATCTTTTAGATTTGTAATGTTTTTTTAAATGGAGTCTCTTATGCTCATCAATGACATCCTTGCTGAATAAAAGTATTCTAAAAGTTTCTTTAAAAAAAGAAAAAAAGAAGAAGAAGAAGAAAAAATAAAATAAATGTACTGACCCCAAACTTTTTTTTTTTTTTGGAATAGTTGTGTATATTTAACACAATTTTTATTTTGAATAAATACTGTTCTTTTTAACCTTTTATTTATCAAAGAATCCTGAAAAAATATCACAGGTCCCAAAAAATAAGTTTGTATTTTCTGTATTGGTGTTTGATGCTAGTGTTTTTACTCTCAGTGTGTTCTGAGTGACAGTGTGTGTTATCTCAGTGAGGGTTGTGCATAGTGTTTGGCTGCACTGAGCCTGTTTTGAGCCATGTGTTAAGAGTTGTGTTGCTTGGAATGAGTTTTGCAGGTGATGTGAACTGTTTAGCTCAGGTGACTGTTGGTAGTGCAGACTGTAGTTAGAGTTTTGCACATGTAGCTCCAGTTGTGCCCACTGTCATTTAGCAATCGAAAAAAACTGTAAATGTAAATACGACTTTCCTTATTGATCACGTCTTCCCTCAGGTAAATGCACGTTTTCTTGCGTGGCTGGATGTCGGAATCACGATGTTTGCATTCGC